CTTTTCACTAAATTCTTACACTTTTCTAATAATTTGGCACGCTCAAATCACCGCGCTAATAACAAATATGGCGCCAGTTTGTTTATATTGCGCAGATCAGTACAAAACTTTCAGTGATTGCGCAGGCCAGTGTTGCCAACAGTGTGTGAAAATTCTGTGTGAATTGATTGGACGGTTTTTGAAATATTAGAAAAAAAGTTATCTCGATAATAATTTGGCATACCATGACGAGTAGCCATCTGACATGAACGAGAGACTTAGAGGGCATTGGTTCTACAATAATGACCATGTGAAAGAGATAACGCACATAATGGCTAAGAAAATAACCAATAAGTTTCTACGAAGCCCTCATTCATGTGATGCCGTCATTAAAGAGATTGATTCGTTGATTTGTCTGTTTAACGGCATATCAACTCCTTATGGGTCACTTAATACCGAAATTTATTATTCTTGAGAGTTTCGAAGTAATAGAAATATCATATGTTATTCTGTTTTCATAACTGAATACATGGTACATGATACTCAGCTTCTGTGCATATATATGTGTAGGGACGCAATAATTGTCCTCCCTTGGATTGGCTTAGGCCATTGCATATCCGTTGGTAACGAGTGATTTTAGCCACTTACCAAAACTTGCTTTGAGAGGAGTTTTTGCTTTTGTTCCTTAACATGTCATTTTTACTTAAGTTCACATATGTGGAAAGCGGTCATTATGTACAATGCGCTTGGTTGAGGGAAAACGAGATCTTTGTCTCCAACTTGGGCGAGGCAACTTATTTCACCTCGTCAAGGGAACCAGAAAAAGTAAGACATTTTGTGATTATCTTTTATGTGCGTCAGCCGGACATGCTCATTCTTGGGTCAATGTCTACAAACGGTACATCCATCTGCTTTGTGCTTTCTTTGTAATATTGTTTGTATTTATTAAATATTTTAATTAAGAACGGGTGGATGTCAACTTATTCAATGTTAGTGGTTAACAATAGATCCACTAATGCTAATATTACTATCTGGTAAGTGAGTAACTGCAGTAATGGATAGCGGCTCGGATTGAGAGCTGAGTTCGAATTCCAATCGGATCCATTACATTCACTTACATGCTAATACCCTTGGGAAAGGTATGAATCCTCTTTATTCCCCACCCTAGCTATGGGTAAATGGTAACTGGCCTACCGCAGAAAGAAATGGTAACCTACTGCGGGAAAAATCTGCCTCGTCAGTCATGTATCGAAAGATACATGATCGCCTAAGCGTATATCACACATGACACATAACCGACTGCCTGACGTGCTAATGCCCTTGGGAAACTTATGAATCCTCTTTATTCCCTCCAGCTATCGGTAAATGGTAGCTGGCCTACCGCAGAAAAAAATGGTAACCTACTGCGGGAAAAATCTGCCTCGTCAGTCATGTATCGAAAGATACATGATCTCCTAAGCGTGTATCAAGCATGGCACATAACTAACTAATGTGAGAAACTATTAAATATATTCCTAGCATCAGATTGCCGGTAAATTATGACAGGCAAATAAAATTATACTAATAAGTGGTACTAATATATGATTCTGTGGACATGATTACTAGAAGCGGTGATGTGACTTTTTTTCTTTGAAGTTATATATTAAAATACAGTTTGATTTAGAAAATTGTAGGATAGTGTATGGATTAAGCTCATGAAAGTTCATATTGATTTTTGGTTGTATTTTAAATGGATTTCGGTGAAGTCGTTACAATTTATTAGCATGTGCGTATTGTTGGTAAGTTTTTATATAAAAATGCATTGTTGGTATTTTTAGTATAAAAAATGTATTTTTATACTTTCATATACTTTCATTTGGGGGGGGGTGTTGTGGTAGTGGGTTATTATTTGTGACATAGCTAATATCACCCCGGATCAGGGTGAACCTGAAAACAACAGCAATTAAGCGCCTCAAATCCTGAGAACAACAGCATTCAAGCACCACAAATCCTCCAATCTCCCAATCGCAGGCCTTGCTGCCGGATGTAGTTTATCGTCATACTCGGGACTACTGATTGAAGAGGACAGAGAACCGAGTTTTGAAGCCTAAGACTTTTATCTGCCTTTTTCATGGATGATTTGTTTGCTTCTTTTATTAAATCTGTTTTAATTAAAGTAGGCACGGACAGTAATGGACAGCTCCTCCACTACAATTCTGAGATGTAGCTATGCGTAAATAGCAGAACAGATTGGGACCTATAGCCTTGGTTGGTTACCTGTCTACGAGAAGAAAAACTCTGAATTCAAACCATCCTGAACAGGGTTGGGCTCTGTCGTGCTGTATTATCCAAGAAACACTACAGCTGATATGGCTGCAGTAGATATGGTGCCCCTACAACCGTAAGGGGATTCGTGATTGTGAATTAAAATAGAAGCGGGATTATTTCTAATCGAATTTATTTCATGCATACGGTTATCAACAACGCATGACCTGAGCTACGAATTGGATATGGCGAAAGATGCCTTCCAAAAGAGAAGCAAAGTATTAAGAAACATGAAGATCTAATTCGAAATAAAGAAAAAATCCTGGAGTGTGATGTAATATCGGTCCTTGTATATGGCAGTGAATGCTGGGCAATCTCATCAGAGGAGACTTGAGGCAACAGAAATATGATCCTGCAGAAGTATGCGGAGAATGCATTGAAGTGAACATATGAACAACAACGAATTTTTAGGGAAAATGGGAACAAAAAAAAGAATCAGAAAGAGTTGGAATTTCTAGAGCAAATTATGATGAAAGAGGGCTTGGAAATTTTAACACTCACAGGATATATCAAAGATAAAAGGAACTCATGAAATCAGTGCACAACCTACCTAACGAGGTTGTGTAAATAATTGGCTGAAGAGGGATTAGGAGAGAAAGAGAAAGAGCAAAAAGACAAAATTTACTAAGGAGGGGAAACTGTGTAGAATCATGATCGCCCACGTCCTGAAGGGACACGCCTCAGATAAAGAAAAGAAGATTATTATTATTATTGTTTTGTTATGCAATAATAATTTGACTTTATAGGCTTTCTTTTGCGTATGCATGGAGTGTATCGTTAGTGGTAGTACATTTGCACCAAATCTATCGACCCTGTTTTTCTCAGGTGAACTGTGAGATGCGAAATTGTACTGGTGCACGGACTACATCGATTTTTCACATATAGCTCCAAAAAGTCAAGTGGGTACTGCGAAGGCCTCACCACGGTCAACGGCATTGACCTGCCGGCTAAACTTTGTGAGCGTAATCGGAAGGGTTTCCCAACCGAACGGTGAAGGGGGACGCCTCTTCCTAGCCCAACTATGCCAAGCGGCCATCAACCAGTCGCCAGCCTAGACGTAGAAGCTGCGCTTCAGAGGAGAACGGCTTTAACAGGTGGCGGAAGAACTTCAGAGAAAAGGGATGGGGGTAACCTTAATATCTCCGGTGCAAAAGGTAACCAGTAAGCCATTGCACTATTCTTTCTTGAATATCACCATGAACCACTCTTTCTAAGATGTAGCCATGTCTAAATAGCAGGGCAGATTGGGCCCTATACCCTTGGTTGGCTACCTCTCTACGAGATTTTAAAACTCTGAATTTAAACCATCCTGGATAGGGTTGGGCTCTGTCGGGCTGTCTTGTCCAACAAACATCACTAACCCTATGGTTGCAGTAAATGTGGTACCTAGGCGTAGGAGCTGCGCCTCAGAGGTCAACGGCTTTACCAGTAGATGGAGGAACTTCTGAGAAGAGGGACAGGATAACCTTAAAATCTCCAATGAAAAAGGAACCGGCAAGCCATTGCACTATGCTGGCTTGAATGTCACCTAGAACTACAATTGTAACATGGAGGAGAGTGGTGACCACAGCGACGGTGCAAAAATGCGCTAACTGAATAAATGTTGAGTCTCTCTTTAGTTTTCATTTTATTTTCTAATTTACATATCGCTATAAAGGATAAAAATGGGATCGGAAAGCCGAGTTCAAATTCCAGGCTTGTCTGTTGCATTCGCTTTCACAAAATGTTCTTGGGAATGCCATCCCAAGCAAAAGGTTAAATGGTGAGGAGTGGGCTGGACTCTTTAACCCTGAGTGGCAACCAGTTTAAGAAAAGGAAAACTAATTTCCAAACCGTAGAGAAGGCAATGGGATATCTACTCCTAAGTGCTTAATACAAAAGGCGATCTTATTTATTGGGAGTTAATAAAGTGGGAGCTCTTAACAAAAAGAGAGTCTGAAAATCAATTAAAAGGTCAACAAGTGCGTAATTAATAAACGAGGTGGTTTTAATGAGGACGGGGATTGTTTGTAAATTTCCACCCCTAGGCGTTTATTGGGCGCCTAATGTTTATTAGGCGCCTAGGCGTACTTCCGTTTCTTTCCGAAGAAAGCATGGCAAGTCCTAGTTTGTGGCCCTGGGTATGACAATAAACTGCATCAGCGTCCTGAGTAAGACGATAAACTACGTCAACATCAAGGCCTCTGATCAGGAGGTTTTAGGGTGTGTGGAACAACCTCTTAATTGCTGGTCTTCTCAGGTCCACCCTGACCCGGGGTGGTAGCACCTGTTAGGGTCCCAGCTATGGGCAAATAGTTAACCCCACAACCTGACTCAAAACACTATGAAAGTATAAAAATAGATTTTAATACCAGAAATACTTTTAAAAAAATTAGTATTAGTAATAAATATTTGAAAAAAAGAAAATCTTACCAGAAATAAAAATCTTGTCAGCATTAAATAACCCATTGAGGTTAATAAACCACAGAACAAAAACAAATCAAACTATACATTTTTGAAAAAAAAAGGGCATTTTGTCGGCATTAAATAACCTATTGGGGTTGATATGCCGTAAAACACAACCAAACCAAAACCTAGTTTATGATTAGGATCTCCTACGTTTTGATGGGACATGGATTTTTAAAAAATATATAATTGTTATTATTAAATGTATATAATTTAAAAAAAAAATATGCGTGTCTGTTTCTGAATAGTCTCTCTCTTTCTTGCTTTTACAG